ATATATATATATATATATATATATATATATATATATATATATATATATATATATATATATATATATATATATATATATATATATATATATATAGGTATGGGATATGGCACAACGGGAGCGTTGTCAACAAGGATACATATATTTATTTCCCAACAGTTTCGGGAGGGGTCCTCCCTTCATCAGGGTATAACTCATCCCTGATGAAGGGAGGACCCCTCCCGAAACTGTTGGGACATAAATATATTTATCCTTGTTGACAGCGCTCCCGTTGTGCCATATCCCATACCTTCACAAAGACTAACTGGCCCATTGAATTATTACTCCCACTATATATATATATATATATATATATATATATATATATATATATATATATATATATATATATGGGAGAGAACTGTATACCTAAGGGCTCGTATTTCCGTGTTTTAACACAATATTAATGAGATATAACAGACAGTAATATATATATATATCTATATTGTGGGCATTTAGTATACCAATCCTCTTCATCTGTACATTATCATCATCATCTTGGTTCGTGCATCTCCGCTGTCGGCTGCCGGTTCCTCGGGCCTAATAAAGGTCTTCTAAACCAAGACTTCATACGTGGTGGAGGTGCGGGGTTTTCATCGACGCTTCCTCAACATCTGCGACGCTTGGACGAGGTCCTGACTTGCCTTGCGGGCGCTGGTCTTCAAATTAACACAAAGAAGTGCCATTTCGCCAGCAGATCTATCATGGTTCTCGATCATGTTGTGAGCAAGGACGGAATTCGTCCAGACCCTGAGAAAACTGCTGCGGTGCTTCGCTTCCCTCGCCCTGAGAAGCCGAAAGATTTGCGAAGTTTCCTTGGTCTCGCCTCTTACTTTCGGCGATTCATACAAAACTTTGCCTCCATAGCCGCACCACTCTATAAGCTACTTGCTTCTGGTACGCCCTTTCAGTGGTCTCAGGAATGTGAATCGGCTTTCAACAAGTTGAAGAGTGCCCTCACGACCGATCCTGTACTTTCTGACTTGCACGATGGTGCACCGACCTTCCTCCATACAGACGCTAGCGGCCACGGTTTAGGAGCCGTCCTCCTCCAGCGTGACAACTCTTCGCGAGAGCGAGTCGTTGCGTACGCCAGCCGCGTCCTCTCCGCAGCCGAAAGGAACTACACGATCACCGAGAAGCAGTGCCTCGCCATCGTTTGGTCAGTGCAGAAATTTCGTTCCTATCTTCACGGCCGCCATTTCACCATTGTGACCGACCACCACGCTTTATGTTGGCTTTCGACACTCAAGAACTTGTCGGGACGCCTCGGCCGCTGGATTCTACGCCTACAAGAGTATGATTTTGCCATCGTATACAAATGTGGCAGAAAGCATAGCGACGCCGATGCTCTTTCTCGCTGCCCAATACCAGCGCCTCCCTTCAACGTTTCCGCAATCACTTTGCAGAACACACCCTCGGAGTCCACGTCTACGGTGGTTTCCTTTCTCGCCTCTATGGACCAGCTGCCTTCGGACGACCCGCACGATTTTTCTTCTCGACAGCTGGCTGACCCATACTGTCGACGTATTATAGGCTACCTCACTGGCAGTTCCCGTCCACCTAATGCGAGGCTCCGTCGCCAACTCTCGCAGTTTAAGCTGGACAACTCGGTGCTGTACCGCAAAATTTACCATCCTGACGGTCAGCGCTGGGTTCCCGTTCTGCCCCGATCGCTTCGGTCCGAAGTCCTCAGAGCACTTCATGACCATCCGACGGCTGGTCGCCTTGGTTACCACAAAACCTACGATCGCCTTAGAAGTTGGTTTTATTGGCCAGGTATTACCACTAGTGTAGCTCGGTACGTTGGGTCCTGCACTACCTGCCAATGTAGAAAACTACCCACATCTGCTCCAGCCGGTACACTACAGCCTCTTCCATGCCCAGCCACACCATTCGAAGTTGCAGGCATCGATCTTTATGGCCCCCTTCCAGTCAGTGCTGCTGGAAACTGATGGATAGTAACAGCCGTTGACCATTTGACACACTACGCCGAGACGGCATCTGTCACTACCGGTTCAGCTTCTGAAATTGCCGACTTCATCCTCCGAGCCATTATACTGCGTCATGGTGCTCCACGTGTATTGCTCAGCGACCGTGGAAGGGCCTTCCTTTCACAACTAGTGAACGAACTTCTTCGCGCCTCTGGCTCAACTCACAAGACTGCCTCTAGTTATCATCCCCAAACTAACGGCCTCACTGAGCGATTCCACCGCACTCTTGCTGACATGATCGCCGACTACATTCAACCAGACCACAATAACTGGGATGTAGTTCTACCATTCGTCACTTTCGCCTACAATACGGCTATTCAGCGGACAACCGGCTACTCACCATTTTACCTAGTTTATGGACGCTCCCCTACTTCTATGCTGGACGTCTCTTTCTTTACCTGCTATGCGGATTCATCTCCATCCTCTTCAGAGGAATACGTTTTGCGGCTCGCAGAGAGCCGCCAACGTGCTCGTATAAACACTGAAGCCCGACAGCAAGACAGAAAGCTGGTTTATGATGAATCGCATCGTGCTGTATCTTTTCAACCTGGAGACGAAGTGCTCCTTTTGACGCCTATTCCACACATGGTTTGTGCGACAAGTTCCAGCCACGATTTATCGGGCCGTACACAGTTCTTGAAGAAACTTCACCAGTGAATTATTGCGTGACGCCACTTGTAGCCCCAGCAGATCGCCGTTATCGAACTACTGAAGTCGTCCATGTCTCTCGTATGAAGCCCTTCATGCGACGTTCTTTGTCCCCTTGACTTGCCGCGGCCAGGCTGGCCGCTTTCACGTGGGGGGAATCAGTGTGGGCATTTAGTATACCAATCCTCTTCATCTGTACATTATCATCATTATCATGTATTGCTCATGCATCCTCATCGTTGTCACGTATCATCATCATCTTGGTTCGTGCATCTCCGCTGTCGGCTGCCGGTTCCTCGGGACTAATAAAGGTCTTCCAAACCAAGACTTCATTATATATATATATATATATATATATATATATATATATATATATATATATATATATATATATGTAGTGAGTGTTTCTTGGAGCGGACAGCAATCGCGAATGAATTACATGTCCTGTGCACTCCTTTTCTCGTTCGTCCTTAGTTTAGTAACGTGCCATTTCATGAATAACAATATCCTGAATGTTTCATGAATAAACAATATCATCATTATGTGCGACAGCTGCGTTGCGCTAAGGAAAGGAGGGAGGGCAGGCACTCCTTCTTTTTACTTCCTCGCATTTGAGCGTGGGGTGAGGCGGCGCTGCGGTAAAGATTTATCAGCAGCCCCCTTCCCCCTCTCTTCTAATTCGGGACCCTTCGCACGCCTATGCCCATAGGGGCTTACGGCGGGGAAATCGTGCTCACATGTTCCAGATTCATGACCAATTTCGCTAGGTGAGAAAGTGCCAATATGGGTGGCACCTGCCCACTCACGTACCTATCAACAGCGGAGGTGTTAAATTTTACAAACCATGAGATAGTCCGCACAATTCTGGGTGAGAACTCGCTAAAGATAGTGGATATGTACGAAACGATTCCTAGCATTTATCCATGCTTAGTATAGTATACCAAAGGCGTGAGGTGTGTTGGTGTGAGGCTGTGGAGCAGAATAGAGGAGAGAGTGTAAGGAATTGGACAGTCTGTTGTGGGTATAGTTCAGAGAAGGGAAGGGAAAGGGGAGTTAAGCAGAGGAGGAGGAAGAGAAGGAGGAGCACACCACGAACTCCACTGACGCATGTTTCTTTTTGTCATCATCTTTATCTAACCAGCATTCGTGCCTAGAGAGATGAAGGCTTTCGGCTCGCTTTGCTAATAGGTGATAACGGGCGGCTGCTGCGGGTATGCTGCTGCACGATATGTCGAGCCACCTGACAATGACAGCTCTATGACGTCACGGCTTCGCAATATGTGACAGAAGGACGTCGGCTTGTTAGGTATAAGGACGCTGTACGACGGCATGCCAACAGAGGAGGTCCACGCAAGCAGTAGGCTTAAGGCTCCGCAAAAGTACAAGCGGCGGTTATGAGCTCGCAAGAATGAAAGCACGCAAACACACAAATGTCACGCTGCAGCGTTCCTTCGAGGTGTACGTGTCAGGCCGCCCTGCGCAAAATAAAAATGTCGTTCGCACGCGCGCGCGCGCGCGTCAGGCGTTCTTGGCGGGCCGAATGCCAGCCAACAGCTGTTCCCTGGCTAGGGAGTGGAGGCGAGCCGGGCTTCTCGCAACGCTTGAGACCAGAGTTCCGAATCGTGCCTCAGAGCTGCTGCCATCGTTGGTTCAGGAGACGAAAGAGACTTGAAAGTGCGAGAGAGAGAGAGAGAGAAATCGAGGAAAACAGAGAGGATGGGACGACGCTAACGGTCGACAAACAAGCGTACGAACTATTTTGTTTCCTGGCTCGATCGCGGAGGGATACAAAAACATAGCAGACGATTTTGCGCGGAGAACTGCGCGAGCAGACGACACTGCTGTAAATAAAAATGTCCATATGTTTCGTCATCGCGTACGCGGTACATGAGTTCACTTTTGATGGCTCTTACAAGTTTAGATAGGTTACTGCAATATTTACTGAGGCCAAGTCTTTCATCGGTGTTTTCTCTGATTCCCTTCTCTCTCGTTAAAGGTCGACCTTGTTCCTCATTTCCGCAAAACTTCCATCTTTTTTCCATGGACTCTGTGCCCCCGTAGCGTATTTACTCGTCTCTCAAGTCACACTACAGGGCCCCTAACACTAATCAGAACCTTATTTTATCATGCGTTACAGCTAATTGAACGCCTTGCGGCGTTCCAGGTACCCTACAATTTCGAGTCAGTTTGCTCTCGAAAGAAACAAGTGCGGACTACTTTGCAACACGCGCGCGCCACTCTTCGGAGCGCGGAGGGATACGTCGTCGGAGGCGGGCGCCCTCGGACCGTATAAAGCCCTGGCCCGCGGCTGCGCGCTTTTCAGCGCCGGGTTAACGGCTCTACGCCGGCGGTGCAAGCTAGCGCGCGGGGCTAGCTGGCGCCCGATACCCCATCGTCGAAGCTAGGGGAAAAGGACTCGCTAAAAAGCCCACTCAAAAGGACGACACCCCGACTGCTGCCCAGACCTCTCTATTTTGTACTCCGGCCACTAGCCGTGTTTTATTACTTGTTTTGTCAACGGAGTTTCAGCTGCCAGTTCGTGTTTTTGTATTCTTCATCCCGTAGAGAGGACTCCGTTACCGTTTCGCTTCGTCTCATCTCTTTTTCACGGTGCATCAGTCAAGAAGAAGTCATTCATTTGTCTACTCGTGTTTAAAGCCAGTTTTTGTATATCTATATAGTCGGGTTCTTCGAAAACGCCTTCTTCGTCTCTGCTCAAAGGCCAACTTCTGATCGCCGCCGCCGACTGCCAGCTGTGTTTCCTCTGCAACCTCTGCTAGGCAAGCCTCTACTAGCCGCCTGTCGCCTCACACTTCGTTCTTTGGATGCATTCCGGTGAGTCGGTGCTCTTTTTTGAAACACTCGCGCGTCTCCTTTATCCGCCAAGCACTCGTTCTGCTATCGGTGTTTGTAAACAATTGCTATTGACTTCAATAATAACACCACCCCCTCTCGCAACCACTTCGCAACCCGCTCGAAACCTCTTCGCGGATTTTTACTTGAAGTAAGGTAGTGACCTTGAATTCTTTTTCCCTCTCCGCTTTCGGTTAACGGCTCTGGCTTATCGCTGAGATAGCGTGTTGGTGTTCCGGATTGCGTCAAGAATTAGGCCTAACGTTGTTTTGTGTATCCTTGACAACGGCTCCTTGGAGAAGTGGCCAGAGGTAGAAAACAAACAACTGCGACTTCGTAATCATTGCGGATGCCTTCGCCAACTGATAATGCAGCTAATGACTTCTTTTATCGACAAGGGGTACTTACATTGATAGTCTGTCGACAGCCCTTACTGAATTACGCTGTTTCGTTTGCACTTACACGAAGTGGATAATTAAGTGGTAATGAACTAGTCATTTACTGCTTACACAAATAAGCAATTCGCAAAGATCTAGCTGATTATAGCTTTTTTTGGTAGTGTTTTCCTATGCGAAAGCCGATGTAGTCCCCTGTGGTGAGAGGACCTTGAAAATCGAGAGACGCCCGACGGCGGGCGTCCACTCTTTTTGCCCTTATCGTTTTTCTTATTATGCTCGGCTCGCTGGCTCGAATCCTCGCCCACATATAGAGCGATCGATCTCCACGCTCCTCCAATGGCTGTCGCCGGGATAAAAACAGAGCCCGGCGCCGGCGGTACAGTTCGGACCCAGTTTGGAACACCCGAGAATAAAGCGAATGCGAAAAGAGCGAAATAAACGTGGGCGGTGCTTTATACCTCTCGCTCCTTATCTCATCCGCCTCTCCACTTGCTAGTGCACGGGGTGATACTTTGGCATTATACTGCCTGTGCTGGGGAACGTTCTAGAAGGAAGTAAACACAGGTAAAAAGGGAGCGAGACGGTACTGCTCTTTATCTTAATCGTATTCCGTCTAACACTTATCTTATCTCTCCGAATGCTCGAGTGCATTGGGATACATTGGCATGATAATCCCGCAGCTCCCAGTGCTTGGGATGGTTCCAGTAAGAAGTAAACATAAGAAGGAAGGGAGCTAACTATTACAACAACACCTTATCGCGACGGCATCCGTCTAACGCTTATCTTATCTCGGACTCACCGGATCCTCGTGTGCGTGGTAATAGCTCCTGGTGCTTCAGTCTTTGGAAAAAAGTAAACATAGGAAGGAAGGAAGGTAGCAAGCCAATGTAACGCGTTATCGGAATCACATCCGTCAAACGCTTATCTTATCTCTGTTTCTTACCTTGGAGGGAGTTGACGCTCGTGTGCAGGGTGATACGCTCAGGCATTACGTACGGTCCTTGTGTCGCAGTGCTCGGGAACGCTCTGGAAAAAAATAAACATACAAAGTAAAGAAGCAAGCCCGTATAATGAGTTATCCTAATTGCATCTGTCTAATGCTTATCTTATCTTGGTTTCTCCGAATGCTCATTTACATGGTGATACTCTGGAATTGTGCACCCGGAGCATAAAAGTGTTTTGTAAATAAGTAAACATATCAAGAAAGGAAGCCGGCTAGTATAGCAATTTATCTTCATCGCGACCATCTAACGCTTACCTTATTTAGATTTCACTGGGTGGTAGTGTTCGTGGTGATAATTTATCATTATGCTCTTGGCGTCATAAGTGATAACGGGGGTTCTACAAAGAAGTAAGCTTATGAGAAAAAGGAGCGAGCTAATGCGGCACTATTTCAATCGCGTCCGTCTACCATCTACCTCTGTGTTTGCCGATGCTCGTGCTTGTGCGCACGCAATCATGCTTGCGTACTCTTCTGTCTGTGTTTGTGAACATAGGAAGGAAGAGAGCATGCTATTATAACGCACTGTCTTATGTTACTCATCTAAACCTTATCTTATCTCAGTCTCTCCTGATGCTCGTGCACGTGATGGTCTAGTACTTAGGCAAGGGGCTGTCAGTGCTGTGAAGGATCTAAAGTTAAGTAACACACGAGCCTAAAGCGGTACTTATTAAAGTTCTTTAACGTTTGTTTGAGTATATAAAACAGTATTTTTGCGTTCGACTGTCTGTGTTTTTGGAACATTTGAGACGGACGTGAACATAAAAGGGCAGAGAGCTTTCACGTCATTACCTCACTCCTCTTACTCTATCTTATCTCTCCGTATCTGGAGGGTGCTGGGAGACTAGTTACCTTAACAGTGCCCTTTTCCTCTCCGTGTTTTGAGAGTGTTCCAGAAAGCAGATATATGAGTGAAGGGAAGGAGACACTTTTATCTAATTTATCCGTCCGTTATCTAATCTGAATGCCCCTGAATGCTTGTGCGTGATTTGATTTCATCGTGACTCGATGTATGAAGCTGTACTGTGGGAGCATACATCTGTAACGATGAATAAACAGGATAACTCGCAAAAGTAAGTAAACACAACTGTAAAATAAATTATCTTATCTTACTTGTGAGGGCTTGGCTTACGATCGTCGACTAAAGTTTAACGGCCACGCGGCACTTACAGCCGATGACTGATCATTTGATGTTATTATGCAGCGTATGTTTAGAAACTTTTTATGAACAGAAAAAAGAAAGAGAGCGAGAACAATTCATATTATCTGTATCGCTCTTATTGTGTTAATCTAGGTGCTATTATGGGATTAGAAACTCTATTAGTGCGCTCTTCAGGGCTGTTTTTGGACGTTAGAGCAAAAAACATGATAGACTTAAGAGAGTCAGGCAGAAGAAAGCTTTATCTTATCAGTAGGCGTATTAATCTTATCTCTCGCCATGTGCTTGGTTATTAGTAAACAGTATTAGTGCATGGTTCTGGAGCCTGTGTTTTAGAAATCGGAGCGATAAGTCAGCCTAACCTAAGAAAGTCTGCGAGAACACTATCTTATCTCATTCATCTTGCTCTTATCTTTGTCATAGGATGCTTTTTTGTGAAGAAATGTTTTAGCAGCGTGCTCCGTCAAACTGTGTTTGGGGGCATTAAGCAATAAAAAAAAGTCATGAAATGTGTGCGCGCGGTGGCTTATCTTACCACTGGCTCACTTCTCTTATCTTCATGTTTCTAGTCGTGTTACTGGTAATCGAGTAACTGCCAATTGGAATCTGGATCACTGAAATGCGATATTTCCCCTCATTTATTTGTCTCTTTGGAAGTTTGTTTGCTGCGAACAACATGTTGATTAAATACAGACACGAAGGTAGCCTACCTCTACAATATTCGCTTCTCCTGGAAATACTGCTTTGCTGATAAAGGGATTGCACAAACCTGATAAACATGAGATATGATCACAGACTATATTAATCTATCAGAAAGAGATCGTCGCTTTAGCGTTGTCTTTGTTAGCGTTCCGTGATCGAGTTTGTTTTCTCACGCCTTTTTAAAGGTGGGGTACTAGAAAGTCTACTCGGCAACTTTAGAGCAGAAAGCAAACGCAAGAACTTAGGATATGCTTTGTTTTATGTTGTGCTTGAAAGTAACTTCATATAAATGAACAAGATTAAGTACTTCTAAACCTTAATTCAATTTAGACAAAGACAGTGCTACTTAAAGAAATCCTTTGAGCTTTGAAGCAGGAAGAAGACAAAAGCTGTGTAATCCCATATGAATATCTACCTGCGTGCTCTCTTCGAAGAAGCGAGACGCTTACTGAACTTTTTTACGTGCGCGCCTTTCGAGCAGGGTAAAATTTGAAACATCGAAGGCTCTTATCTATTTTGTCAGTCATGACGGAAGTTGTCAATCATACGGCTAGGTGAGCTTTCACAATGGTGTAAAGCACTGGTGGCACTCTTCACTTTCAATTTCAGTTTATTTTCAACATCAAAATACAGCGTACAGTGATGTTGTGGGCAGGGGGAAAAAGCCTCTAAAATGGCCTTGAAAGCGTCCACTGACCATATGATTTGACAGACCGCAAGCAGTACGTAGCAAGCAACATAATGCAGTACAGTAGTGCAAGTAAAAAACAACATACAAAGAATTTAATAATACAGATTTACATAATACAGTGTTTTTACCCAAGTGGAAAATGTTTTCATCATGCAGGAAGTGTTGAATGAAGTCAATAATTTAAATACATAATACAGGCTAAGCTTCACGAGCGAAATTCTGCCACTAAAACAATCACTGAAAAAAAGAAAGAAAGGAAAAAGGGAATAGCAAGAGTAAAGACTTGAAGCACAAAAAGTGAAAATCGTTCATGTATTATATCATGTATTATATCATTTTATAAAGAACAAAAAATCACACCATATCCATGTAGGGAATGATGGTGACTGAGGCGAAGCGTCTGTCTGTCAACGTGTCCGTGTGTCCATCCGTCCGTGCATGCGTCCATGCGTTCGATCGCGTTCGACAATGCAGAGGGCGCGCGGGTGACACCGACAAGACGCGAGTCAAGGAAGCCGAGCGCAAGCGTCTTCAACGCACCCGCCGCTCTGCTTCGTCCATGCCCCACCAACGAAGTGCCACGTATGGCGACTATCGATGAGACTGAGAGAGGGGCTCGTTCTCCGCGCACTCAGGCAAAGCGCGCGCAGCAGCCAATTGGAGAGTAGCGGCATTTTGGAGAGTAGCAGCAGAGTAACGCCATCTAGGAAATTATACGAGAAATGGTCATCCATTTCTTTTGCATTTTTTCCCGTATCTTCTTCTTTCGGTTACGCGTGACCAGTGACAAGGTTAGACTAAGAGGAGCTTCGCCTTCAAAACTAAACTAGATTACAAACGCCAGGGACGCTCAGCCTAGTGTTGGTACTTGTAGATAATCCACGTTTTGAGTTGATTCATCATCAGGGATTGATGCATAGTGGTCGTGCCCTTGGCAGAAAACGCAAGTACAAAGAAAAATACGTCAGTATCCTATCCTTCTTGGCATGGGGCCTACATGCTTCTATCGCCTAGCGTTGAACGAGAACTTACTTAGAATACCGACCGGTATATACTATTTGTATTACCCTCTTATGCTCCGTAATACCGGCTCCACCAAAAACATATTACCCGCCATTATTTACTCCGTACACTTTAGCCTCGGCTGTCACAGACGCGTTGATTGATCTTGTTTTGTGTCTTACGTTTCGCAATTCGTTGACGTGTTTATTGCTGCTGCTCTGGTTGCGAGTTTTGTTGTTGGCGCAGTTTTCCCGTGTTGCTCCAGCAATCAAGCTTGCTTAGGAGCACGTGTCTACTCTCGAAATGACAGCGTTACGAAAATGAAAATTTAAAAACAACGAAATGTGAATTATGCTTGTCTACCTGGTTCACATACACAACAAAAGAATAGATCCCTTGTGCTGTTTATTCTAGTCTTAAGGGCCAATTAAATACTTCTCTCCCAAGGCGTATCGACACTCGCATGCATCGCCTAAGACTCGCAACTGCTTACGCAAATCACTTCCTACTTCGTATTCAGAGTGCAACATCGTCAGCATGTTTATGCAGCTACGATGACGAATACATCTATCACCACTTGCTCGACTGTCCGAAACACGACCCACACCGATGGCGACCAGAACAGGCACTCCACACGCTAGATTTCGAGCGGCCATTTGCGTTGAATAAAATACTAGGCCCATGGCCATCTAAAACAAATGGCCAAGCAATGAATTTACTGCAAGACTTATTCGAAGAAACAAAGGTTTGTGACCGCTACTGAGTGGGCTATAGTTAAAAGTGAGCGTGGCTATTACGTGTTTGTTCTGACTACAGGAGAACTTTTGCACTCACCTGTGTAGGACTGTATATATGTATATACGCTATTTGTTTTTTTTTACAGCTCCTTATGTTTAACAATCAAGTGGGAAGGGGTATCCATCGCCAAACAACGGTAACAACAACTCCTTCGTTTATTTACTATTTCAATAATAATTATAAAAAGACACGGAGGTTTAGTTATATCATTTACGTCTGAGCGAAAGAACTTACTGGTTGAAAAAATTTACCTGAGATGAGGCGTTAGCTCCAAGTGACGATCCGCACAAAATGAACACTGGATAAAGCAACCGGTATTTATTCGGAGTCAAGATTCTTTTAGCCGCACTTCGATGAAGGTGAAGTGGTGGAGGCCTGCGTATTCTGTGACGTCAGTGCATGTAAAAGAACTCCAGATGGTCAAAATTTCTGAAAGCCACCACTAGGACGTCCCTCATAACCGTATCGTGCTTTTGGGACGTGAAACTCGAGATGATGATGATAATAATAATAATAATAATAATAATAATAATAATAATAATAATAATAATAATAATAATAATAATAATAATAATAATTAATATTATTATTATCGTCAAGGTGAGTTTAGAGTTTCACCTATTAACATCAGCGTTAAAATTGGCAGAAGTCCTCAGCAAGAAGGCTGTTTACGCTTTGAAACGTGCGCCGACGTAACAGACGCGTCGTCATCCCTCTGTTTTTAAACACTAGTTGGTGGCCCAGTTTTTCTTTCTCTTAAACCTAACCTGACTTGGCAACTGAGACGAGTGAAGGAAGAAGGAAGGGAGGGAAGGGTAGCATTCCATCGATTTGTCCTTGACCGCAACGCCGCAGTAGGCAGGCGTTCAGTAGGCGTAATCGTGCGAGAGCTCCGTGCCAAGCGCGAACATCGCCTGCGTCACACCGCGGCTCGCATGCCACGTCCCCAGGCTCGGAACGCGAGCGATCACGAAAGAGATCCCGGGCCTGTCTCTCCTCCTCTCGGTGTTCTGTTTCTCTCTCTCTCTCTATCCCTCGGTGTCGTGTCGAGCGAAGTGCTATGCGGCACGGCCCCCTGGGCCGCTATAAATACGTGAGTGAAAACGCCCCGCTGACACCACCACACGCCGTTGTCCACACGGCTCGGTATCAAGTGGCCACGCAGAGCTCTTGTATAACGCATACACGATATTATTTTCGATTCGTGGACCCCAACCTGCTGTTAACTAACAAGATTTATGCGGTGTTCTCTTTTCCCATCACATGCGATAAATGCCACGACACCGTAGATCTCGCTGATTTGTGCTCTATATAGCGCTGCCCCACGTGAAAAAAAAAAAAAATACTGCGACAAGGAAAATACCGCAGAACGGTGGGGCGTAGCTCTACGCAGTTTCATATTAGAAGAGCAATTATGGGCAGTATACGGGTGTCCGAAGTGCTTGAAAGGCTAGTTCTTTCGGTCCCAACGTGGGAGCGGCCTGCTTTGGGCTAGTACACTAACGCGACCTATTGGACATTAATGAAGTTCTTTCGTCCATTCATTCATAGACGTCGCCATCTTAGGCTGCTCTACGAATATATGACTGCCTTTGTATGTCTTGACGTGAAATTGATGTCTTCCGACGTGGAATTCACTGAAGAAAATAATGACCAAACACGCTGTCAGAACAGCAGAAATTGCCCGCGACAAAAAGTTTTTCTTGAAAGCGATAAACGTTACTATAGGGCAACGCATATGCTTGCTAGGACAGCAGAAGAGAATTCTGTCGCGTCAAGCTGTTACGACAGAGGGCGCACGCTCTGCAATAGGTACCGAATTTTCACCCACAGAAATGTCCATGAAGTTAAGCGAGAAATTGGCTGTAGCGCAGCTTTTTTTGTGTCAACAGGCCCTTTTGTAGTATGGTATATTTCTCCATACCATACCATACCATACTACAAAAGGGCCTGTTGACACAAAAAAGCTACAACAGAGCCTTGCTGTGGATGGCAGGGTAGCAACAGCGTGTCAAGTTCCGAAATAATAAAGGACATCAGAGTTTTCGGTCGTCGCATTCTGCTGAGTTTGCCAACTGGGGATGCACCAGCGCTGTTGGTTAAACTACTGACGAAAAAAAGAAATACCATCGTTAACAGCTCAACATGGGGCTATTGAACACGTCCATAAACTGGTCCACACCCTTAGCCCATTCTCACTGTACAGCTTTGCAAGATAAGTCCAAACGTAGCTGTTGATTTAGCGGCGACAAGTAAGGGCCCCGTTACAGTGTTATCTGCCCTTTATGTGTGTACAACCTCAGCTTCTGCGCCATTGTAAAAAACGAAAAAAAAATCAGGCCTGCGTGCAGACATTAAGTTGACTGCTTTTCGATATTGCAGGCAAGCGAGACGGCTGCTAGTCGCCTACTACACTTGCTTTAGTTATTTTGGTAACGCTAGGCGTTTACTTGCGTTGTCTATGTACAGTTCTGGTGTCATGTCCCAGTCCACACCGTTGTTTTATTTTGTTAATCGGCATATGCATTTTGATCTTTATTTCTAGCGTATTGATGTTGGTCGCCCTTACATAATGCTTCGCGAGGGTTCTGGTGAGGTGTTCCTAACTTTGCCTACCCTGCGTCTGGGCTCTTGTAGGGCCTGCATTGTGGGCGAAACAACTTCACTTTGTCCACAGCTGGCGCGAGTTAACTCGACGTCACCTGACTCGGCCCACTCGGGGACGGTCGGGTTAAACCTTACTGTGTAATAGATAGATAGGTAGATAGATAGATGGATAGATAGATAGATAGATAGATGGATATAGATAGAACGGTGGAACGATGGAACGATAGAAAGATAGAACGATAGAACGGTAGAACGGTAGAACGATAGATAGATAGATAGATAGATAGATAAATAGATAGATAGATAGATAAATAGATAGATAGATAGATCACACAAAAGGCATCGCACAGCTTTCCACTGTCTGCAGATGTGTGCAAAACTTGCAAATAGTATTGGAGGTTCCAGAAGTGTGTTTCGTAGAACTAGTAAGTCAAACATGGTGAAAAGGCAAAAAACAGCCCAAACTAGAAGAGACGAACAAAGAAATAACCGACAGGACGAACGCTGACAGTGTGCGATGTAGTGAGAGCTGACAGCGTTCGTATCTTTTACTTTGGTTCGTCCGTCTCTTCTAGTTTGCACTGCTTTCACTTTTTATCAAATATTGAGGGTTTATTTGTCGTATTACACTTCTTACTTATTTTTGGAAACAACCATTTACTGACAAAAGCTTTCTTGGCATTTATTTTATGTAATCTCCAAAATGGCATCAATGTTCAGAAAAATCCCAAACCAATTCGAGATATTGACGCTGTGAGATTGACATAAGTGGTCTTAAGCCGTCAAGACGTCGAATTTAATTTTACTTAGGTGTGCTCAGTGTACCTAGAAATATATTATTCACTGTTGGAGATATGGCAGGCGTAAATTTGTGGGCTGCCTATTACAGGAATATAAAAACTGTGAAAAAAGAACCCCGGAAGCTTTCCTGTAGACTTTGCCGGATTCACAGCGACTGCTGTAAGTTTGTACGCTGTCCTGAGACTTCTCGAATAACTGTCTCTTACAAACGTTCGACAACAAAACATTTGTGTGCTATCTTTATGCTTTGTAGCGTAAGTTTCCTAAAGCTCAGTAACTAATAGATCAGTGCAATACTAACATTAACACATTGATTCTTAGTACTTTTGCAAGTACCGTACAAGATACAATAAGGAATCTACATCTCGTTTAACGCTGTCCGAAATCTCATTTTTCCTTAGTTAGGCTGGTCATATTTGTTACAAAATAAACAAACAAACAATAAAGCAATAAAAGGCAGACCATTCCGTGTACGGACATGTTCGAGGTATTTTAGAATGAGACTGATAAAAGTACTTTATACAGTGTCCTCGGAATGTGTCATTAATTTGTTGAGAGGAAGCAGTTGTTGAAGGTACCAAAAACCTGTCAATGAATGAAGGAAGGGAATTTTGAGGACTAGTTTCGTCGTTTGACACAAGCTTGAAGAAAGCCGGCAACTGTCGGTTTTCATCAAAGTTCTGTTGTCAGCTGTCGTCTTCTTGTTGTTTACGACATATATACACGATTAGAGAAGTGCAAGGTAATAGGAGGTGTATTTTATCTTTTGTTTTCAGTACACCAAATTCATTCGAACACGTATTCTCTTGATGGTAGACGGGGGAGTTGAAAGAGCGTCTTGGTACAGCTGAGCGGAGCTGTCTTAGTTCCTTGGAGAAATACGTGAGCGCTTCGTAGAAGACAGCTGTTCGCACGCAGGCAGCAGCTGCCCGCCGTCTTTCTTCTCTCTTTTTTTTTTCTAACGCGAAGGGCACGCAACTCTCACATCTGCCTTCTCTCTTCATTTGTTCTTTTTATATTACTTCCCGTCAACCGTGACTTGCACATATGTAGGCTTCACTTAATTCCGCCGCATACCTGGGTGGTTAAGCGGCGTATAGATTGATTACATCGATGTGTGTGTGTGTCATTGCGGGGTGGCAGAGGCGTGTCGCTTGTTACGGAGCATGTGTGAAGGTGGAGGGTTCGTACCAACCAAACACAATGTGTCAAGAAACTAGCAGTGTGAACCAAATGACAGGAAACAAGTGCAATCAACAGGAACAAAGAGATGAACTGCGCGAACGGTGCAATTTGTCTTAATTTTTGAGGGCCACCAATAGTCATGATGATTATACTACTACTACTACTACTACTGCTACTACTACTACTACTACTACTACCACCACTAATAATAATAATAATAATAATAATAATAATAATAATAATAATAATAATAATAATAATAATAATATGAGTATTCACATGCCAAAGAGATGTTATGATTACATGATTACAGGGATGTCGAAGGGGAGAGTTGCGGATAATGTCGATCATCTCATGTTATTGAACATGCCCTGACGTAGCACAGTGTAAGGACCACTGAAATATTTCATTTCGTCGAAGCGAAATCGCTGCGACAGGAGTCGATCCCGTGACCTGCTGGTCGACTGCTGAGCACCGCAACCACTGTACCGCCGTAGGGGAAAAGGATGAGCTACGGTAGACTAAAAGTGAAATGATATCGCG